ACCGCTGGCGCGACAAACACTCAGCACGCGTACTAAACAGCACGTCTCGCTAGTTATGCTCTCGACAGGGAGCGCCGTGAAGGCCACATTAAGAAGGAACCATCGAATGTGACTTTCAGCCCGCAGACAGCCACACCACACAACAAAACACACTAGACCGACTGCGGTGTCCGAGTTAACCCGCCACCTGGTAACCCTCGAAGCCACGGCTTTTAGCGTACCGCGATGGATTTAAATGCGTCGGATTAATTATGGTGAGGAATCCTCATTATAATGAGGAAAGAAGTGCGCCGAGGGTTATCCTCACTCCTTCCCCCACCACAGCAACAGGCAACCGCCTAGCTGTCGGCCGCCTGAGTTGTGATGGGCGCAACGCTGAAAGGTAAAACAGTTTGGAAATGAGCAAGGCAGAGCGGGTTGTGCAAAGAAAAAGGAAGAGAGAGAGGGAAAAGGAGAAAAGAAACGAGTGAAAAGGAGGAGGGCGAAGGGCAATAACGAGGGAAGAAAGGAAGATAGAGGGTGAAAATAGAAAAGGAACGAACAGATAACAAGAGAGGAAACAGGGAGGACGAAGCGACGGCGAAAGCGACGGTCGAGCAAGAACGAAACGAACAAGAACTCAGCTTTCTTACAGCGGAGAATCTTAAGGGACTGCTGATACTTACGTTGGTGCTAAAAGACTGAGCTGGAGGTGCGACTATTATAAGTGTGAGTGCAGTAATGGTGCGAGTAATACTAGCTACAATATGATAATAGTGCTGCAAAGGAGAACATGGAGAAGCTAACAGGATTGTTGTGGCTTACGTGGAGATACGAATATGTTGTTCATTTCAGTACGCATGCAGTCTAAGCACTCTTCAGCCCCTTACATAACTGCCCTTACGGTTCTGTCCAGGTACTGTTGCCCGAGTGAAGCATGGGCCACTTTACTCGTCGCCTCCCCTCCCCGCAACGTCTATCTCACACAAAGTGTATGCTCGTCAAAAACGTGGGACAGTCAAAATATAGATTAGCTGGTTAGCGCACGCTGTGTCTTGAAAAGTGGTCAGCACAGCCTATCAACCAAATCTCACATCAGCCGTAAAAGGGTACAGCCCTAGAGGGTACGTTAGTCAGCGTGTAGAATAGGACTACAGACGGCATCAAGTAGCACTAGCAAGACTGAGACGTCCTGGGTCTAATGCTAGGTAGTTGCTCATAGCGATTGTGTCGGAGGCGAGTCTTAAGGGACGATTTGGGTAGGGCAAGAGAAGCAGTAGGCCTAATAGTGATCACGAAAAGCAAATAATAGAACTTGGTGGCCTAGGAGCTACGAGTACTAAGGACAATGCTAAGTGAGGTTAGTACAGGAGAAGACCTGAAAAAGTGCAGTAATGCAAGAGATTAGTAGGGAATTTCAACAAGAAGAGTATCCACTTACCTAGAGGTTCCCGGCGAACGTGTAGGCGCATCCTTGTCTTGTAGGTAATGAGGCGATTAAGGAGTAGGGCTGGAGCTAGTGGTGGGGGTGTGGGATGTGCTGGGTGTGTCGACATCACGGTTAATGCCGCTGTCTTGAATGCGCATTTGACCTAGTAGGCCATTGCAATGGGCGAATATCCTGGGGCAGTGAAGACGGCGGTTTCGTCTGTGGGTTGGTGCTCCGGGCACTAGTTCGCCAGTCTCTGCGCGATGGATTCGCAAGTGACCGACTAGGCCGATGCGTGAGG